GTCATTCTTCATTATTGGGTGTGATTCTCACTCATCATAAACAACGTCTCAGTGAATCACAAAAGACACACCGTCATGAAATTGCCTATAAATGCTTGGCGCTTCACAAATGAAGGGTGCTAAACACTGACAAGGTAATAATTCTGGTATGGCGCCGGCTGACATGAAAGCTGTTTGTTAAACCATTCAAAAATATTTGCGTCCGCATAAAAAAACGACAAGATCAACAAACATCGCACACAGTTCAGACACGCAAGGGTACGGGATTTTACAATTTCGCAAGTCAAAGTCTGCGACTTTCCCAAATGATGAGTCCCAGTTCCATTGTCTGAATTAGTCCAAATGCCACTTGACAGTGGTGGGGTTTGAACCCCCCGTGTCACAGAAGTTAACAGAGGTCAGGCCCCACTAGCCCGCCATTGTTTGTGGATGCTTACCATGCCGGGACTGTTCAAACACAGACGACGGCCCTAACACTGATAAATTAGCCCAAGTTATGGCTTTTGGAACATTTGTCAACTGCAATGCCGCATTTATCTTTCTAATTGTTGGCCTGTTCAGTGTTGCCTCACAACAGGCGCACTTACCGAATAATATTTATCACATGATGAGTGCATTTGTAGGAATTCACTAGATTATCAAGGCATCAAAAAAAGGGAAAAAAAGGAAAAAGAAAAAAAAAGGGTAACAGAAAGATAAATCAAAATAGCAGGTATCCCCCTAACAAATTTACAAAAAAAAACCCCAAAACATGCTATAACTTTGTGTGTGTTTGTTTACAATCATAAATTTTATTTACTCTAGGGCATCAATTGCCCACTATACCCTATTTCATTACCATCCAAACAAGTCCTGAATCTTTTTCATTGTGGTATTATTGAATCATGAGAATTTCCCGAGAGTTTTTCAAATAACTAAAGATGTTCCGTAGTCTCCGTTCCACATTATTTAGTAAACATATATTTGTGATGACAGACCATTAATGTTGTTACAAAATACCAGACCAGTTGCATCAAAACACACACAGAGGGTGAAATACATGTAACTGTGTGATTTCTGTCATTCTCCATTCTTTATTTATTCCAACAAAACTGGAGACCCAGAGCCATTTTCCAATACCAACTCATCTGACCTTGACAAGTAATCACTCAACAAGCTGATAATGTCCTAAATTTCACCCAATGCAAGTCACAGGTACTGTACTACATTCTTTCCCTATAAAACTCTCATAATCTACATCTCACATCCCCATCAGTCACCACACGGAGGCCAGTTTCACACTATATACATGTATGGTGGAGTTCTGCTTAGAATATTCAAAGCACAACAAAGACTGGAGCCAAAAGACATTTACCAGCAGAAATGCTCTGCAATACAATGTCATATGACTGGTTATCTGCTCAGAAATTGAGCAATATTTTGGCTACCTGCCTCCATAAACGTGATGAAACTTGACCCTGATGTAGCTATTACATTCACTGCACCGTGACGGTTGAAATATTCAGACAGAAATGTTCCTTACTCGTACTTCAAAGCAGCAACTGTGCCCAACCATGCCAAAGCATTACAAAGTTTATTCAGTTTTGTGCCAAATTACTGAGCATCAATAAAACAGGATGAATTTAACTAAACGATATCATGGACTGACTACATAGCTGCCGTAACTCATTCATTTAATTTCGTTTGTAACTTTCCTTTTAAAATTCACTCTGGATCTCGATCATGCTAGATTCTAGCCCAGACCAAATACGGGCTTCACAGTGCAGAAAGGAAATCCACTCAGGCTGGCTAAAATGCGGTCAACTTTTTACAAGCACAAAGTACAGAGACAAGGTTAAAGTTGTGGATTTTATTAATATAAAAAAAGTACAATATGTCCGTCAAAAACCTGCAATTTCAAATCACACATAGAATGGAAAATTAGACGAGTGAAATACATGTATAGTGCAGAAGTTCATCGAAATCTATCCACAAATGCAGCACATACATGTACATGTGCATACTGTACGGTAGATCTCCTTTTTTTCTTCAGAGACGTTATAATCTACTGATATACATGTATCATGGATATGATGACACAACCAGGAAGATATGCCCGTGCTGAATGAACACTGACCCACAAAATAAGGTTCTGTACATTCTTAAAATCCTAGTTAACTGCAAACTTATCAAGTAGATTTTTATATGGGCATGTATTCCATTTAGTAATTGGTTTTAATGTAGCCAGCGGAGGTTAAACTGATATCGAAATGAAATTGAAAAACTTAGGCTAAGGCCCAGTATTACAAGCCTATCAACCAGAAAAATTAGAAAATCATTCATGTAATAATTATCAACACCCTCAGCAAATGTTGCATCTGATCAGAAAGATTTTACTTTAATACCCCAACCAGAAATGCTAAGGAATACCAGGGCTCGCGAAATTTTTAAATATTTGCCCTTCGGGCAGGGTAGTCTATAATCTGGTTGCCCGAACCTCATTTTCAGTTGCCCGACAAGGAAGTTTTAGCCACATGTGGTCTCCAAGCTTTCAGTAATTACAGTCATTTTCCTAGTTCCCGATCGCTTTAAATGAATAGGCCTAGGCCTACCCACCTTTTTGCTATTGCTCTTCAGCATTACACGCTAAGACGACTTCTTTTTTGAAAGGTAAAATACAAGTCTTGCAGTACAAATTTTACTCCCAGAAAATTTCCAGAAAAGGAATTCTGGCTAAATGTCCAATTCGGGCTTCGACGTTTGTTGACGGTTGGATGCTTGCAGGTGCTTACCCGTTGGGCTGGCAGCCTGGAACATTTGGTTGCCCGACAAAAAATTTTGGTTGTCCTGTGACATCAGACTACCGATTCTGCAAGCCCTGAATACCAACTTCATTGAAAATAACTATCCAGTTGTGTTCAGAATAATATAAATGCTTGGCACAATCTGTCATTTCCAGATTTATTTCTGTGAAACTGGTGAAAAATTAAGCAGAAAGTAGGCCTACCCGTGAACACTTTGAGTCACAATGGCCTAAATGGGGCCTCCAGTCAAGACAGTGCCAAGAACATCAAACAGAAAATTGGAACTTTTTTCCCCTGTACAGGATGAAAAGTTTCCTACTGAATTGAAGGTTGTGCCAAGCATTTATATAATTCTGATAAAGTTATATGCCCTAAATAAATTTATATAGCCTAAACTGGATATTTATTTTCGAAGATTTTGCTCTTCCAACCTGATTTGGTCAGTTGGTAGGGGTATTAAACTTTAGTAAAGTAAAATACTTCCTCAGCGGAATTCGTGTCCCGCAACCAAGAAAAAGACGAGAGAAGTGAATAGAAAGTCCTCGCTCTTTACACGTATCGGTCTGCTTACCAACTCGGTGTAATGACTGTGCTGCACTCTGCGCTGGAGTTCAACAAGCCGGCGCGGCCGCCCCAGCGAGCGGCCGGCATGCAGCCAGCCAGCCGCTAATGCACACAATGTACCAGTAGCAACTGAGTGCTACGCGTACGGTATGCGAGCACGTATTTTTGCTAATACAGTTTTGTTAGAAATGGAGCAGTTTTAAGCCAAAGACCCTCAAGATACTTATCTGTAAACTAGAAAGAATTCTAACCAAGCAAGGTTTGTACATTTAATTCAAGCAAAAACACAACATTTCATGCTCACCTCCGGCCGCGTCCTGATGTTACCAGCTCCTTGATGAGCTGCTTGTCTAGTCTACATGTACTCTCTGAATGTTGTGCGCGTGCGCAGATTCTGGTGAACTTGCTGAAAATATAAATATTCAGATGTCTTGAACATTTTTTTGACCAATCATGGCTCGTTTCGCAAAAAGTTTTTTTTTAGAGAAAACAAGTATGACATTACGAAGTACTAAACAACTTTATTATAAACCAACGAAATACGTGAAACTATCAAGTTTTCCCAAATCCGTATCATGGGGTCGCGATGATTTTCCCAGGGCAAGTGGCAGACTAGAAAACCATAAACACCTTTATAGCATTATCCTGAAAAGGGGGCATTTTTCTTGCATTTCCACAGTTTTCTATTTATTGCTCCAAGTTGTTTAACGGAAAGGAAAAATGCCCCTTTGGAATTCCTTCCGCAACGCCCAAGATTGTATCGATCTGGTCCCGCTAGTTAGTTATGATCATCTGGCTCTTTTCATGCTTTTTTGCGAGTGGTTGAGGATAACTGGTTCCCACCTAACAAGATACCTTAAGTAACATTCAAGGGATAGGGAACCAGTCTTTGGAAAGGTGCCGCGGGCCACACTACTCAGTTATGATCACTATGGCAACCACAAACTACTGTCTTTACGTCTACCCCACGGGTAGATCCAGAATGACAAACGATCACTTTGGGACCTTAAGTTTCTGGCTTCGGATCTGTGGATACCTACATGTAGAAGTTTCATTTTTATTTCCATCGACATGGGAGACCCAAGCAGTAGGCAGGCTAAGCATTCACAAGCTGTTGCAAGATGTGTGACCTCTGACTTCGTAGGTCAAATTCAAGAGCTAAAAACACGTGCTGTTTCAACGGACGCAAAGATTGTTTAAACAATGTTTTAATCTGTTTTCTCCCCTACTGATTTGGGGGGTCCTTTGTTCTGTACTAGAAACCTGTGCCACGTAAAGGTATTACGACCTCATATGGAATGTGTGACAGGTCAGGCCCGAGTTGAAAATTTCTAAATGTGAACTCACCGAGATTGCAGCCGAGTTTGAGTGCATTTCAACCAATAAGTTTTTGTATTGTGAATTGGTCGCTTGATACTGCTCAATGTACGACTCCAACAGCAATTTTCGTTGCAAAAGTTTGTTGCATTGTACATCAAAGCTGCATCTGCCACTGCATCGCAATTAGTCCCATGCTAATTATATATTTTACTCGATAACTTGTTTTTCCGAAACAAAATAATTTTATTGAAAATAAATGTTCCTTGCTGAACACAAGACATATGATGTAACACAGTCGTACAAAAACATGTAGAATGTAACATTTGTGCAAAGTTGATTTCAAAATGCATTTTTAATTTCTTAGTGCCTTTGGTACGGAGCCTTTTCCAAGTACTGGATTTTCACCTTGAAACCACCCGGCGAGCAATGTTGTTCACAAAATTACTAGTCTCAGAAAAGACTCAGCAAAAAAGAAAAAAACTAGCTTGTTTCAAATTCTACAGTATTTTCAAGTTATAGCTTTTAATATTTAGGGTAATGATACTTTATCAAAGGCATAGGAATTTACACAAAAGAATTAGCGGGTAATGTTACTTTGTAGACATCTAAATTCACATTCCTTAACACACACTTGTAATATAGTGCATGCAGACATGCATTCAGATAGAGGAAAACAGCCCATGACATTTTAACACATAGGTAATTCCAGAAATTACGGGTCTAAAAGTGTGATATTTTTGAGCCCCTGTTACATCTGAACTTTGTTATTTGACATGGAAATATCACCGGAATTGTTTTCAAACTATTACTTTTTTGTTTGGCATTTAATTTGCCTTAATTCATCACTCATGGAAATTTGAAAATATGTTCTGAACTTACAAAATCAGATGTCAGATGTGACAGAGACACAGAAAAATGGACCTCGAATTTCTGGAATTAACCACATACCTGTATATGCTGTAAATATTATCTCAAGGGTTACTGCATTTTCAAAAAGGTGAAAATCAAATAACAGAAGGGGAAAATTCAATTATCTGGTGACACAATTGCATTCTAAAATCGTATTTCAAGGTGTTGAGTAAACCTAAAGGCAGCTGAATGGTTATACCTGATAATATCAGGCCAAAAATATATTAAAATGTAACTTTTTATTTCTGCTTTAGTGGGTACATGTACTACCAAATGTTTGATCAAAAACAACATCAATTTTTAATATTGAACTGATCTGGCATTCCACATTCACAAATCCTTCTCAATTCAAACGTTATAAATGCAAATTATCTTTCCTGGTTCAACACTAGTTAAAGACCAGGATAGCTTGTTTTTATTCCAGAAATCCTTTAACACATTCGCAGATGTAGAATGGAAAAGCAAAAGAATTTCAAAAGTTGATTAGAAAATTTTGAATGAAAAAGAATGCTTTTATTGATGTCTAACTTTCATGTTACTCGTTTGAATGGATTAAATTCAATAATAGTTTAACATTCCTTTACTGACGGAAAAAATAAATGGGATGTATTTTTAGATTTGCAGGGCTTTATCAACTGTCAGTAAAACGACTGAGTTAACTTCTTTTCAGTTTTTGATCGATTGTTCTAGGGTACAAATAAACAATAAATCACCTAGAGAGTAACTCAATTAAATTGTCATTCCATTCAGATCCCAACATGTCCAGGCTTTCTTCAACGTCATTGCACAGCAGTGGGTTTAACAGGTCATTAAAGTCTTCGGTTGCCTCAAAGTTTGTGACGGTGGAGGACAAAAGTGGGGCTGTCATTAGGCCTGATGTCAAGTCGGAAAATGAACCCGATTCACAGGCTCCTGACACGTGATCGCTTGGCGAAGTTACATGGGCGCCTGCACAGTCCAACATGAGCTTGTCGATGTCTGGTGGTTGCATAGCAACAGGGTGTAGAGCTGGTTGCATGGGGGTGCAAGAGGGCGACATTGCAGCATCAGCCAGGGCAGACTGGGCTGCTTCAGGTGGTGGTGTGGATCCCACTGGTGCTGAAGCTGGACACTTGATGCCAACAGAGGGCACCATTCCTTCCAGAGGCTCTTGAGACAGAGTAGTTTCATGCACAGCGTCTCTCTGTTCTTTTTCACTCATTATGGATGATGAAGTGTTCGTCACTGCTACAGCAGTTTTAGAACTGCAAACAGAGGGTGTTAGAACGTCGCCAGGGCAGTGTTCGTGGGCCAGGGGCTGTAACTGGGTGTGTGTAGTTGATGATGCTAAAAATGAAGAGGACAGTGTCTCGGTGTAAAGAGCATGGTTGATGCAATCTGTTGAGGGTGTCTGCATTTTGGAAGTGTTTGCTGGAGTAAAATGGTCATCATTACATTTGCTCTCAAGTTCCGTTGACACTGTTTCGTCTGCCAACAGCTCTGAAAACAAAAGTTCCTGGGATGGACTTGAGACCCTGGAACTAACAGATGGGGTGTATTCACTGCCAATGTCCAATGCCTTGTATAGTTCATCTATGGTGGTGGTCAGGTCATCCTTTCCACTTGTGTAGGATTGGTTATCTGACAGAGAGCTGATATCTGAGCAGGCACTAGGGCTTGATACAGAGGAGCATGGAGGCATGAAATGCTGGGGCAGATCTGGGTAATTACTGGTGCTGTCCTCAGTGCTGTTCCGCCTCACTCTCTTGTTGGGGACATTGACACTTGATGAGTACTTCCCAACCCTCTTCTGCCAAGACCTCAGAGTGCTGGCGTTGCCGCGGACGCCGTGTTTGGGCGTTGAATGTGAGTCCTTGTTCTCTTGCTCAGCTTTCTGGTCTTCTGGACTCTGGCCGTATGGCTGGAATTTCACCTGCTTCCCCGAGAGCCTGCGTGACCAGCTGACCAAGATTGGCCTCGCCATTTGTCCATTTGGCTCAGCCTGGCTAGGAGAAGGCAGTGGGTAAGTAATCACGTCTCCTCCTGACAACTGCTTGGGAATCTTACTAAAGACTGATGTGTTTGAGGCAGCGCGTTCAGGACTGGACAGTGCACTTCCCAATTTAGGGTGGGTACTTGCAACGCCCTGCCCTGAGAATTTTAGCAGCTGCTCAGGTATCTTTACCAGTATTGCCGACACTGATGTGTTTTTTTCTTTATCAAGTTTGCTCTTCCTCCGGGAGGCGAGCTGCCGCAGAAAGGTTGGCTCAGGAGCATCTGGCTGCAGTACTGGCTTCCCTGGGGTGGTGCTATTTCGTGCCTGGACATTTTTATTCCGCAAGAGTTCAGTCTCCCTCACAGCTATAGCACAATTCTGTTCGGTGCTGTGTGGTTTTCCTGCACCACCATTCAGCTTGTGAGAGGGCAATTTCTGACTTCTTTGGGAACTTACTTGGGAAAGACCGCTGGGATTCAAACTGTTTTTAGACTCTGATCTTGACTCCTGACCAGCCACTGCCTGTGGGCCAACTGTAGGAAGACTCTTTGTTTCCATTGTCAGATCTATCTGTTCTTGCTTTACCTCAGTGGGGCAGTCAACGTCAGTTATCACAACCGTTTGCAGGTCCACATTTGAAGGACAACTGTCCAGTCTGTTCCTACCTACCTCCCTCACTGCCTCGCGTTCATGCTTGTTTTTTCCACTGGACACAGAGAGGGAAGCAAGCTTCCGATTTCTCCACATGCCATTGCCATTCCAGTGGCTAGACTTGCACTGCTGAGGCACAGCATTAGCGCTCATCACTGGAACTTCACTCGTGGCAGTTTTGACTGGCATGTCCCGTATGCTGGTGATGTCCTGGTGCATTTCGACGCACGCCGTGCAAGGTTTTCCCACTCGCTCCCACACCAAGATGTGAATCTCTCTTGCCGGGATGTGAGGTTGCTGAGTCTGCCAAGCAAAGGGAGAGGGCATCAGGTCATCGTACTCCAACCACTGATTTGCTGCAAAACAAATTACAATAAAATATCATCTGTCAAGTGGACATTTTGAGGTCTTCATTGCACAGACGTGGACAGATATTCATGTTGATTAGTACAGAATATTGGATCATCTTTCAATGTCGAGTTTATCAGACTTTTGTTTTCAAACATTGTCGCAAAATATTTTTCATTCCACAAATGATATGTCCAACAGAAAAATCTAGTTAAATTTAAACTGTCTTGTGATCAGCCTTGACGCAACCTTTGCATTCAACACATCCTTGGTGATTAAAAAGCAAAATACTACGGTCCTTGGTGATTACAAAGCAAAATACTACGGTTAGCAAACGCTTAAGCTCTACATGTATATCTGATGGGTGCCAAAAGTCATGAGCATTTCTCTCAAAGAATCCACATTTGTACACATTCAGATGAAAACTGCACTTGGGAACCACTGTTCCCATGCAGGGACAAGTACATGTGACAACCACTTGTCAACCACTGGTCCACTTCACTTGCCCAGTAATCAGGATACTGGTTACCACGGAAAATCAACCAATTGTAGTTGCTCACACTTCCCCAGAACATATTTCATTTGCTCTCACTTTGCAAGGAGCAGTTCCCTTTGATGTTGCTTTATATAATAAGTAAGCAGTTCATGTGAACAATTTAAGCACGTTGCTCAGTAGTATCATCAGATCACTAACAAAAAAATACTACCTGCTCTATTAAATGGACCCCCTGAGTAAAATTGGTGCAATCTGTGACACTTACTTTCTTGATCTCGGATGACTGTGATGAAATGATTGGGATTACGACGATACTGAATCATGGCCCTGAGAGTGTAAACATCTCCTCTGAAGTAGAAACTGTGGTGCTTTGATAGGTCGCCATCAGGAAGACCGTCTCGGAAATGCATCATCACAGACGCTGGCAGACTATAACGAAAATGACAATCAAACATAACTTTGAACCATACTATTTCAATGAGAAAAATAGAAAATTTAACACAAACTGAGTACGTCATCCTGTATTGGTTTTTAGAGTTTTTTTTTTAGCAGGGCGGCTTGAAAACAGTGCCTTGCTTATGTAAATTTGTACCTAACACAATCTGCTTTCGAAATTTAGCCATTCTACAAACCCATTCAACCAGAATTATATCGTATTGATATGTATCACATGCAGTAATGATATGTGAGGTATTTAACCCTAGTCACTTGTTCACTACAGCAAAAGTGTAATTGACCATCACTGAACACTGATACATATTTTTTAAGAGAAAAAGGTTTTTACTCTGGAAACTTTAGGTTAACATTCAGCGAGGCTCTCAACAAACCTGTGAAAGACAAGGTGGCTCTCCTGGTTTGGGACGCCGCAGTGGTAACAGTCGAGCAGCATCACTGGGTCTGCCATACTGAAGTCAGCAGGCACACGGGTGAATGTAGGTATCGTCTTGTTATTCCTGCAATGGAGCATGTGGAGTAACAATATTAAACTTGAGAGTAAAGTATCACGTCAATAGAGAGCTCGTTTCAAATACTTAGCAGGTTAAAAAGTTTCATCAAGATCCACGGTATACCATAGCGTGACTGATTTAACATTAATAAAATACAATGCCACCCATTTTCCCACAGTTAAAAAGACACATGATTGACACTCAAGTGCCTCCATTATGCCAAAATGCAGGGACATTCCCTTCTACTGCATATAAAAAAGACTGAGATTTGTGCACATTTAAATGAAAATTGGTCTGTTTGATCCCACTGAGTGCATCAATGTTCGCGATGAGAACAGGTGCTGTGGCTACTATAACTTACTGGTTTTACTTGCTCAGTGGCTACTTTGTAAAGCCAGTTGTACTTGTCCATACCTGTATCAACTAATAATAAGAAATACTCTATACATCATGAGCGCAACTTACAGAATGATCTGTGCATGACCGCACGCACTGCAGTAGAACTCCCACCGACACCTGCACATGAAATGCTCCTCGATGCTGCCATCAAGGCGAAGAAGCGCTGGCAAGGCCACTACGGGTGACTCCTCCTGACCCAAAGTGCACTTCATCACTGGCTGCAATCTACAAAGTAACTCGTCTCTCACTTTGTCAAGTCTGTTGCTCCAACAGTTTGATTCAAGCATAGTAGCCTGTTTGGAGTGTGTCGTCGCTGCAACATTGGAGGCAATCACGTTGTTATGACTGCTTTCCTCAACATTATGATTGGGGTTGGGACCAGTTTCCCCGCTAATTTCAAGAGGTGCTACACTTGTTTCCAATAGGTCCCTGGCACACTGAGTTCTTGCGTCTTGACTGGTACCATGCTCTTCCAAGGTCTGCCTCCTCTGAGCTTCCACGAATGCTGTACACAGCTTCCTCACTGCCAACTTCTCCGGAAGCTGAGCAAGGCAGGCGCGAAGGCTGCGACAGGCTACCAGAACACACAGGCACGCATCCAACCAACAGAGGGCATTCTTATTCGTCCAGAGCCTGACCCATTGCATTGTTGATGACAAGGTTACAGATAGGTGCTCTGATGATGCGAAGCTGACTGGAAGGCCTTCAGCTGTGTTAGAATACTGAACACCTTTTGATAGTTTGGGATCCATGCTTGATGGAGGCGAGCTGCTGCCAGGCAGAGATTTGCTTTTCTTTTTTTTGGTGTTGGGAATTTCTGATGCCTTCCTCTGGAGAATGATTGTTGATATAGATGAGGCATCTTCAAAATGCACACACTGAGGGGAACAAAGGAGAGAACAAAACTGTTAGGTGAGAAAGGACAATTAAAACAAACGGAACACTTGGAAACAAACATGGCTGTGAGTGTGATTTGTTAGTCCAAACCAAAAGTATAAAATATGACTTTTTCCGATGTTCAGTGGAATAATCTAGAATTAACCAAAGTCGAACACTCAATGTACGGGGTACTGCACTATGAAGCCAATTTTTTTGAAAAAGTGCAATAGAACCCTAACCCTGCTAAACCTAACAGGATTCTACGTGATTTACACCAACCTTGAGAGTTAGGACTTCAGAATGTGTCATGGGGTTACGGTACAGGGATTTACTGCAACAGATATACATGTAAACAAGTGCCTAGGGGTTAGAGTTTTAGGACCAGTGGCTTGCCTTTTCATTCTCACAAAGTAACGCTGCCAAACTGTCACTGATCTGAAGCAGTCGCATGCGTTTCCCTTCTCCTCTTTGCTGACACTGAGGGCACCATTTCACGTCAGCTTCCATAGTGGCTGGGTAATGCAGTGCTCACTTGTCCATGCAGAGGGGATCTGTGGACATACAAATCACGCAAAGGGTTAGCCAAGTTTTGGTATTTGGTGAGTGATTCATCTGGCATAACTGTGGGATCCGCAGGATCATTCGATTGCACAGCAGATTGCACCTGCTCCTGCCGGTAATCTGTCAATCCAACCATCATCAGTCAATCGTCCAAATTCACATCTGTGGTAGATCGTTAAGGAAAAGGATTTCATTGGCCCGACACTTGCGCAATGGTCAAGCTTTCTCAGCACTCTGCATGTTGGTTCGACCATTTTCGGAGGCCTGACGCATGTACACTGCAATAAACACAAACAGTAAGATCGTTGTTGGGTGGAAACAAGAGATTGGTGAGTAAAAATGTCAGATTTTTCAAAAAGTACCCCGTCTCATGGACTAAAACTACCGCACAGCCATTTTCAAGAGCTATGGGTACATGTACAGTAAAATCTCGATAAGTCGAAGCCCGTTAAGTCGAAACTCCATTTACCTAGATGTCTTTCTGTATTCCCGACAAAAGAATAGGCCTTCATGTACAATAAATTGTCTGTAACTCGAAGCGTCAATACCACAAAGCCGCTATCTCAAAGTTTTGGTAGGCCAATTAAAAAAAAAAACACTGAAGAATGATGAATAAAATGTGATGAAAGAACGCTTGCCTTCATTATGAGTCATTACTGTCACGCGCACAGCTTTTTTCTTTGATGAGCCAAGCATGTTCACACAGGCTGCCATTGTCACGTCGACAAGCACTGGGTCAGCATCAACCGCAACCGTAAAAAAGGCCGTGTCCGAAACGGGCTTCCAGAGCTATGGCTAGGTCTATTGTTTGCGCGTCTCCATGCATTTCCAATGGAGTGAATACCAAGACCTAGCTCTAGACAAGAGATTCGGAAGCAGCCTAAATCAGGCATGAATGATGTATCCTCAAGCACTTTGTACATGTATCACGTGAACCAGCACAGAAACCCTGACCGACTAGCGCAGCCCGCGCACTGCGTTATGCAGTAACAGCCCGATCAAGCAAAGCAAAAGAATGAATTCTCAAGATGTAGACACAAGTACCGGTACATAACTTCATTGGTTTATTGTTTATTAATGTACCACATAAAAACATGTTTAATGATGATGTTTGAGGAAAACTTGCACAGTAGGGATAGCCTAAAATCCACTCCGTGTTCGACTCAGCTTGCAGGCCAACTACCGTAAGCCAGTAAGGTTGGATGTGCACTAAAGCATGTAACTTTCGATACCTCAAACATCGGATAACTCGAACTTTTCCTCCATTCCCCTGAGCTTCCAAGAATGGAAGGTGACAAAATCAGTCTTTGTGGTCAATCGGAAGCTAATAACTGATTAAGATTCCAGATTACAAGCGGCAAATAAGACATCAAAAAAAATGTGCCTCCATTAAAATATGACGCTCGTCAGTTACTTATCACGTGTTCCAAGACATCACCGGTATCAAATCTAGTCCTGTACGGTTTTCAACCACCATGCCTGTTCAAACTCGAAAACGGAGAGGTTCTGGGAAGCCTGTGCCACTGTTTCCCTGAATTACGTGTAGAGAGGACGTTACAACTCGGCAGCATGCAGTGCAAAAGTGTCATTTACCAAATGCTAAAATGTAAAGGTGGACAAAATAAAAATTTTCAAAAAGTTAATCATGCTCCTGGGGTTGGGTCCAAGTTGACTCAGGGTGGGTCCGAATTGGTCGTAGGTCCGAGTTAGTATTGGGATTGGGTCCGAGCTTGTCGTGGGTCCGGGTTAGTAATGGGGCTGAGTTGGCATGGGTCCGAGTTGGTCGTGGGTCCGAGTTGGCATGGGTCCGAGTAGTTGGCATGGGTCCGAGTTGGTTTGGGTCCGAGTTGACTCGAAACCTCTCGAAGTATGGAGGTAGGCCTATGCTGTAGCCAACCATACTTTGATTTCTCAAAGTACTAGCACCAGACAATGGTCAATTCAAACGTGGTGATCAACTACCCCATGAAGACAGAACTACATTGTACGTGGGAGCGGGGCGGACGTACGTCGGACCCCACATTTCTGGTATTGTCTGGGGGTAGTGAGCAACGTGTCGTAAACAGAAGCAGTCTCCTGGTCCCATGGGTTTAGGCCTATGTATCATTCTTGGTTTTCAACTGCAAGATATCTAATCATTACACCCCGTAACTTACCGAGCATTTTCCAGGAGTGTACGTTCATCACAAGTGGTCTACTAGCTCTTTTACAATGAAAGCTGCAGGAACGAAAATCAAAAACTGTAGTCTGTAGCTCGAAAACGTTTCTTGAAGTTCGGAAGCGGCGATATCCACAGCGCGTTCGATTGTAGACCGTATCGCCGCGTAAACTCACTAGTCCTACTAAAACGTGTGTAAAACCACGTAAAACGTGCTCTTCACGTTTACTTGCACTAACCTCGTCCCCAAAATGCCTGACGGCTTTGCCGGTGTCTGCACGTAAGGGCATGTAAGTTTTTACGAAAACGTGGAAAACAATTCTACATACACTGCGGACGAGGTTGGTTTACCGGCTATGGTACGGAAGCCGAATGCTGCCAGTTTTGACAAAAGTAATGAACGCTACCATGATTTCAGTGATTTCTACAAAAAAGCAAACCGTAATCATTCTAACGAACTAAATGAAATCAGACAAATAAGAAAAAAAATCACAAATTCTTCCTGGCACTAACTGAAAAATGACGAATTCTCGTTCCCTGGCACCTACCTCCAGCGCAAAACACCAAGAATGCACACAGCACGTTCTTGTCAAAGGATGTACAAAGGACATGTATTACATGTCATGCGAAAAAAGAGTGCCTCTTCATGGAAGAAACTATTCTATGTCTTATTTCAGGCATTCAAGCTGAAGGGGAAAAAGTAAAAAACAACGCCATAATGGCGAAATCATGTTTCTTTGAAACGAACGTTATAGGACCTACATGTAATTGGGCTCCATTTATACTGGCTTAAGCGGCCAAGGGTGGCACAGGCCCATTGCCTGACCAGAGACGGGGGGGGGGTCAAACCCAAAAGTGGAACTTTTGGCACTTTGAACACATATTTTTATACAAAGGCCTATCATAATGTGCTTTGGAACACAACATCGAACAAGTTCCAGGTTTGTCGCGAATCGAAGGATGCATGTTAGACTTGTATAGGCCCTATACTTCAGTTTTCAATATTCACGGCATGTCGTAAATTAGCCTGGTAATGAATTTGCTCTTCACCCTGCACCTTAAATCGGGCGCTGAGTGACGGCGAGCGAATAATATGAACAGTATTATTAAAAAAATCTCAGAAAATCCCACAACAAATTTCAGAAGTTCTAAAAAAGTGATACATTCTTGTAAATCATTATTACCTCCACTCACCTAACTAAAATGGTGGAAAACATTTTAGGTCGCATTTCATTTTGCTCCTAAAAAAATCCGAAAATCGGAACAAATTAACATGTCATTGGAACTTTTTAGCGGATATATGAAATCGACATTTATGAATCAAAATATTGGAGTTTGATTAAATTTAACCTTTTGTGAAATTTGGAGATAAAATATTGCACCATACACAAATGTTAGAAGTAAAATTTCGAAACGCCCATAGATGAGTCCGCGCCACTTTCCGGTGCGCATTCTTCAATTGTAACGTGAAGCAGCGCACGAACAGGTGTTTTTATTACGCCTAAACTTTCTCAAGTCCTCGAAAATTGCAATTTTAGTGGACCGGATTAGTGTCCCGAGTCCTCGCTGGGTGGGCCATGCAGCTGTTCTTTTTAAGACCAATAAAATGATAAAGAACATGGATTACACAACCGTAAAAGACAAAAACGCACAGACGTACCACACAATAATTATGTGAGGTGCGAACAGTACTTGGCATTTACGAGTCTATTCAGTCTTTCTGGACTGGTTTCCTTCCTTTCCAACACGTAGGTAGAGCCAATATAAACCGCAGCTTATATTAAAAAAATTGTAGAATATTGAAATTATATATTTATTACAAAAAAAAACCCACCAACGAGCGGAACTCGGAAGCGAGCGGAGTAATAGGGATAGGACAGTGATGGAGCACCTCCCCTTTCATCCTCTTTCACCCACCCGCGCCGGGGTTTCCCACTTCACTCACCTTGACCTTTCCACCCCGGCGCACTTTTTTGTCAACAAGTCGTGACGTGCGCCGGCCTGCACAGATCGCACAAACAACCAAGATCCTTTTGACCCCGTGACTCTCAAACAAAGAAAGGGACTTCCCCTCGCTTTTCCAGTCGCTACAAGTATCGACTTGCCCGTTATAAAAAATGAGAAAAATAAATAGAAACTATATAAAAGGATATGATAGACCATACAACGAACGTGAATTGTTATTTTTGCAAAGACACGAGAAATTCAATTGACTTGATAGATTCGTACGATTGCTTTCGTTGTTTAAATTCCAAACGTTTATGCAAATGTACCGATTGTAAAGAATGTCACGATTGTCACGAATGTAACGACTGCACCGGATGTAATGACTGCTCCACTTGCGACGATTGCGGTAGATGTATAAATTGCGTGGCTTGTTTTAATTCATACGACTGCCAAAATTCAAATGCCTTGGACAGTTGCGAGGACTGTTACGAGTGCGGCAATTGTATCGAATGTTTTGGTTGTACATATTGGACCTGCTGCGTAAATTGTGTCGAGTTGGAAGAAATGGATCACGTGGTGCTCGTAAACGGCAAGCATAAAAAGCTGAGGCACCCGCGAGAAAACGAGCCACTGCCCGATTTAGCGACTAAACTCGAAACGGATTTATACAAAATTGGACTAATTATTGAATACGACGTTGACGTTGAACATTTAATTAAAGTAGACATCCCATCCGAGTTAATAGACGCGGACGAATAAAAATGAGAAAAATTTATGACAAAACCGGAAAATCAGAACCATGTCAACCCACGTATATGTCGTTTCAGATGACCACGAGCGTCTCAATGCCGACAACTGCGACCCCAACGTCACCTACGATCCCTTTGACCGAGTAAATTAATCATTTCAAAACCCGTGATTAAAGAAGGCACCCACGTGAGTCAATGCAACTCGCCAATTTTTTAACCATCACAACGGTCAAAATGAACGCTTGTTGATTATGACGATAGATCCATGTTACGGTATAAACCCACTTTACAAATACGGCACTCGAGATAAAACCCCCGAAAACATCAAAGGCCGTCAAATCTGTTACCAAATACAACAACCTACGACAAACATACTCGATCTTATAAATTTAGCCGTTTATAAATTCATCGAATCTCAAGAGTGTAATCTCCAGTCTAACACCGTAAACACCTACAAAGCCATTCGCGATTCGGTCAACTGTGAGTCCATACCAAAAACACATACATCGTCAAAGGTCCTGCGGTTTCGGCCTGTCGTTCCATTTGAATCGATATGTCTCCACCGCCGCCTAGAGGTCTACCGACCCGTGAGCCGACTTATCGTCGGAACTTCTAAAATCGAGCCACAAGCCATACTTATCTTTCAAAAATTCATCCATATCTACCCCGTTAAATTTAAATCTTTCACCACCGCTCTTGCCGACCCGGTGCCGAATCGCCGAAGTATTACCTCGTTCTAGTGTTGATATTCAAAAAGTCCCTGCGAGTAAAGTTGATTTGGCTTGCCTTCGGCCGTGACGCCCGTTTTAGTTATATGTGGATTATAAAATCTTTGGGGGGTTTTGACAGCTGGGTCTTTAAACAAAATCAAAACGCCTTTCAAGCTCTTGATCGTTTGATCGATGTTAATATTCCAAAGGGTATCTGACTTGTTTACCGCCTGCTTCTTCCACGAATGTATTCGGTCAAATAGGTAAAAAAAACGAGTGCATTCCGTCAAATAGGTAAAAAACGAGCCTTTTATGCTTATTCCCGAGAGTTTCCGCCAATACTTGGTTTGTTCGGCCGCGGTGTCTTAGCTACTTTATCGTGCCCGTTAAAAGTCAATTGATACGTTAGGGGTTTTTTAAACCTGACGGATAGAAAGGCCCGTGATGAGTCAGAATTGGCGTGTCCAGTGGAATCGCGTATCTGTTTTTAAAAGCGTCGGCAATCGCTTTGTCTTACCGTTGTTTGCAGCTTCGTTTTTATCGCCAGCACCAAAACGTATCTTGGCCACGTTTTCTTGTTCTAAACCAAAGTACGCCATATTTTTAGTTTGCGACAGAGGTAGCCAGTTGTCCTTAAAATTATGAAACACGTCCGCATTTCGGTAACTTACGATTTTATTGCCTTGTAAGCTTACGTTGATTTCTGAAACCAGGTTTCTCGCCACTTTATTAAACACGGTGCGGTTGTCGTCGAATGCGCCGTCTAGATCGAGTTTAAAAGCCAGTTTGGCGGTACCGGGTACAATTACGACGTCCATGCCTAAAGCCGGGAATTTAACGTTTAACGTGTGACCCGTGGCTATTGTACTCGGGTTGTGGGTAATGGTTACTTCGCGTCTCTCGCCTTTGATCGAGCGGGGTACCTTGAGCATCCGCATGGGGTTTAGTTTTTTAGTATATTGATGGGACATATTACTTTTATATTATGCCATTTTTATTTTACTGGAAAATTTTAAAGAGGAAAGAAAACGCAGTCAAATTTTTTAATCTACTGAAATATTTTAAAGAAGAAAGAAAACGCACTTAACGTTAAACCCGTCGCAAAAATAGGTCTTCGTATTCATTAGTTGACTTTGCTTTCTAAACGTTTCACGTTGGATATCACCAATGTGATCGATATCGGTAGGTATGTCGCCCAGCATCTGCTTGATGTTGCTTAGGTCAGCTTGAATTTCTGAAAGTTGATTTTTAATTTCGCTAGTC